GTGCTCGCACATGAGTGAAGACGAGCTGTATAAGTATAAGTAAGTATACTTTATTATTAGAATTATAAAATACACCCATTTCTCTAAGTAAGATAGTAAGGTATAGCTTTTTACATATGATACCGTAGTTGTTACTGGCTTTTTCTAAAGGACAAAAATGAACATATTTTGATACTTTTTGATAAGTTCTCTAGGTAATTTTTTTTTGTTCCAACGATGTTATTTTTAAACAAGAGTGGTTTAACTTTTGTATGGTAACAAGCTTTGAAGTATTGTTTAAGTTTTTCAACTACATTACCTCCATTGTTTACCTTATATTTCTTTATATAAAATTCTAAGACTTCATTAGTGGTCTGTTCGTATACTTTCTTTATATTTATTCTACTCATACCCTCATCTATTCTATATTTGGTACCTTTAGACATAATATCTTTGAGATTATTTTCTTTAATTAGGCTTAAGTCTCCTGTGACTATGTGCTCCAACTCTTTACTAATATATTTTTCATTATCGCTAAAGCAAAGTTGAAGCCCCCTATCTTTTCCATGTGGCTTTTCTGAAGATTTCGCATCTAATCTGTAGGCTCGGGGTTCGAAACCAAGAATCTTCATAACCCTCCGGGGGAGTTTCGGAAAAAGATCTTCGCGATCTGCCCTAGTTTGCAACACTCTTGAAACTCTCCTGGGTGACTGAGCTCAACTTCTCAACGAAAACTCAATACTCCGCACTCTGTACGCCATTGAGTTCTCCGAGGTGGGGAACTTCAACTGACCGGGTACTAAGTGCAATTCCAGCTCCAATCATCCTTTCCTCAACAGTTCTTGAGCGTCTTTGCCGTTGCCTTTGCGAATGCGCTTGCAATCGAACCGCTCGTTCTTGTACTCCCTCCGGTTCACGTTTTCTCCGCTATCGTTGTGCGTTTTCCTCCAATATACTCACTCGTTCCTCCGTTCTTTCCAATGCGCGTCTTCTTCGCTGAGTCAGAGCATTTCCCTACACCTAGAAACATGATCCTTAGTGCTTTCCTTTCACGTCTTCTTCGTTGACGCTCGACGTTCTCCTCCAGGCTAGCAAAGTATTTTGCAGTGCTCTCCAAACCATATCTTCGTCGTTGACATTCTTTCGCGTTCTCCGCCAACCTCGCTACATGTTCCTCTGTTCCCTGCACCTTCCAGTCGCACATCGCCTTAGCTGAAGTCGAGCGTTTCCGTCCAACGTAGTCCGCCCTTTTTCGAGATTGAAGCGGAGGCTCCTCCTGGTCTGAGTTGCCTTTTTTCCACCATTTGAGTGCTTTGCCACGTGGGACTTGTGTCTCAAACTCAAACTTGGATAATTAAACCTTTATCGGAAACACATCATTAAGACAATAAGTGAGACCATCTTTAAGGCGAGAACAAAACCAGTAACACCGAGAAATACTAGTAGCAGCACCGTATTGTATGACAACGTAATCATAAGGCAAAGAAGAGATCGGAATAACAATGGCAAAAACAACAATACTAACTAAGTACAATAATTCTCTACTATACATCGAAATGCAAGACTAATAGCATGACAAGGTATGTGTGCAATAAAGGAACTTAAAGATTACAGCAGAGGCTTTCGCTAAAGATGACCATATTCAAGAATCCAACCGAGAAAAAGAACACATAAAACAGAATTGCCATATGGCGTCCGCACAAGCCCTTTTATAGCGTATAGTGGTTTGCGAACATGCCGGACCTGTGAAGTCCCATTTTTGCCGTGACACTGAACCTAGAGTCCCTTAATCTATTAGGTCTGTTGGAGATTCTACTGACGACCCAACAGACCTAATAGATGTCTTGAATATCTCTTTCCAACCTCATAGCTGGCCGAGTAGTATTCCCTCAATCGAGTTTTCGCCCTGCCTCTAAGCGTCCTCCTGCAAGCGAGTGGTCCGACCTTCAAACGTCTCAATTTGACTTCCGGTGCTGCCATGGTGCTTGTTCTCAGATATTGTCATCTGACCTTTCTGTCCCTCATGTCCTCATTCCGCCGCCTCTGACGCTGGCGTGCAGAACCATAATCGAGTCTTTTCCTGTCATGTTTCGCGCTGTCGTCTTGTTCGAAGGCGAACGCTTTCATTGTTGTAGATCCTAGGTCTTCCCCTAGTTCTTTATTGCTCCGTTCCTTGTGATCGATGAAATTGTACAGCTTCTTATCTAACACCATAAATATATGAACAATAACAATAAAAGAATATGAGCGATGTTCTTGTAAATTGCTCGTAATACGCCGGAGCCTTCTTGACAAAATTGTTTGCTCGACTGATTGACCTTTTCTCCTTTCAAAACGGATAATGCATGCCAATTCTTGCCACAAACTTTTCTGAAGGAGAGGCTAATCACGCGTGCACTACAAATTGACATAAAGCTGTAAGGTAGAGACAGGTAGAGCATTGGAAATGATATATAAAATTGGGTGAGGCATAACACTGTGGCTGCGAAAATCAATCTCCTGCTCTTGATCCTAATAAACATGATTATTAAGTGTAGTTGATGTTTATATGTGTTGTTATGTGCTGAATTGTTTTGTTGTAATTTTTCGTTCTCGGTTTCTGTTGCCAATCAATAAATGGACGCGCCGACTATCGATGACGTCACAAGGCGGATCCCCGATCGACCATTAATCCTAGTGCCCCCTATAGAAAGCTGGCGATCTGTTCTTAGATTATTAATGTTGTTCTTGCAATAGCAACGTGGGATAACAATCGAATAAAGAATCATCGGCCCAGTTCGCCTACCATGTTGAAAAGGTGACCAAACCCGACTATGCGACTTGATGGTCTATTCGGATTTTGGTTATCCCCTTATTAGGTCTGAAATTACATCGAGTCATGGTAGTTACTAATGCAGTCAAATGAACTTGACATCACCATAAGCGATCCTTTGTGGCCACTCTTAACTTCGAAGTTAGAATGGAGATCGGAACGAACAGGAAATGTGACAATAAATCGTCAATCACGATGCATACTGGTAGTCATCTAATAGAATGGAGTAGATCGGCATATTTTACTTACATGGTACTGATTTCCACCCCTCGTGATTACGGCAATTGTCAATGTTACCAAACTACACTATCAATGCGTCTCAGAGCGTGAGACGTCTGACCTGTGCCATGATTTCATTTGAATACAATAGAGACCGGAGCCTCTTGCATTTTATAGTTCTTATCAGCCTGGCATTGACATTCGATGCTTAAAGACGCTAACGACAATGGTGATGAGAATCGAAATGCTGCTTTCGATTTTGAAACCAACAGCACGAAGAACGCTGCCCGAGTTCATGGGTACAAAAAAAAACGATACAGCACGGAACAGTTAAGCATAACCACATAAAGGAATACAGCGTAATCAGAAAAAATGGAACTGATATTCAGTCAATGATCATGCTTACGAATACTATCAGAAAGAGTAGTTTGTTTCTCTCGAACCTAGAAATAGAAAAATTTCGAAAACAGCGTTTGAAACAAAGGGACACAACGAATTATGATAGTGAGCTCTGCATAAAAGGAATACAGCATAATCAAAGTAAAGAAACTGGCACACTATGAATGATGAAGCTTGGACCAGGAATATATCAATCGACATTTTTCTCTTGACCTTATTATAATAATGATCGATTTTGAGGAGTTTTCGAAGGAGAGAGCGAATTCACGTAGGCAAAACAGATTTGGCTCACAGTCCCAAAGAAGGAGAATTTAGCGTTCCATAGTATGGCATCTTCTCCTCTCCCAATCTCGATTGTTGACCTAAGCTCCTCCCATTTTAGTGCCTAAATAGTCCACATTGGAGAATTCTTGCCACGACGATGTTGGGTTTAGCTTGAATCGCTGATTGGCTAGATGTTCTATATTTGCATTCGGATAAAACTTAGCTCCTGTGCACCTCCTTCTGATATCAAGTGCCCGACTGAGCAAGATCCAGTCGTATCACCTATCATCAGGGTTCCAATCCACTAAACTCCTACCAAGTTTGAACGCTCTTGGTCTAATTCAACAGTTTTTGCTCACGCCCCGCCCTCAGTGGGTGGGGTTCCAACCTCCCACCTATCATTAGTGTTCCCATTCTGCCACCTGTACTCCTACCAAACCTGAACGCTCTTGGTTCTAGCTAACAAATTCCGCTCACCCATAGCCCTCTGTGGGTGGAGTCCGGTTCTGCCACCCATCATAAGTGTCCTACTGTGCTGCCTGTATTGACAAGTTTAACTGACCCAGAGCCATGTTAACAATTTTCGCTCGCTCCCCTCTACGTCCACGATATTCAAGAACATTTTGAACAAAACAAAGAAAATGGCATTTGATACTTCACAAGTATGAAAATTAAAATCGATCCGCAGATTTGATTCCGAAGGTAAAAATTCAGAACGCAAAGTTTTCGAGAAACATTACGCGACTTAATTTGTTCGAACAAATATGACAGAGCGCCCTTCCGAGAGCAGTTCGGCATGTAAAGTAAAGTCATGATGCTTCCAGGACAATAACAATACTAAATAATAATTCAGATGAGGAAATCTCCGAAGATGATGTCTGAAGAAGAAGGAGCACATCGAAACTCGATTCGAGTCACTGAATAAGAAAAATATAGCATAATCAGAGTAGTACAGCAGGTACTGAATGAGGGATAATGCTTAATACATGACTGTAGCAACCGCTCATTTCTTTTCATCTTATACTAGTAATCTTCGGCAACATAGCTCTCGAAAGAGAGATAGCGAACTTACGTGATCTTTGCAGGTTTTTCACGTCTCTACCCGATTTTCCAGAACTCCGATATGATCTTGAAAAAGTTACTCGACTTTCGCTAATGATTTGACTTTCGCAAGTCAAATCATTAGCGCCTAGAAAGGCCACATTGTATGGTTATGTCCACAATGATGCCGGTTCTAGCTTGAACTGCGGATTTTCTTGATGTTGTATATTTATGCTCGGATAAAATAGAGCTCCCGTGCTCCTCCTAACGACATGAAGTGCCGAGACTGAGCGAGGTACAGCATTACTATCTATCATCACTGTTCCATGCTGCCTCCTGTACTCCTACCAAGTTTGAACGATTTAAGCCTCAGGAAACAGGAGTTATGAATTTTCGCCCAAACATTTGTTTTGCGCGAATCCCTCCCCTTGTGGGCGGAGTCCGGTCCTGTCTCCTATCATGAGTGCACCCATCCTGCCGCCTGTACTCCTACCAATTTAGAACACACTATTACCAAATTGACAATTTTCGCGCGACCCCCCCCCCCCCCCCGGCCCTCCCCCTTCTCGTGGACGTGTTCTGGTCCTAACACCTACCATAAGCGTTCCCATCCTGCCGCCTTCCCTCCCACGAAGATTCAACGCTCTAGGGCCAATACGGCAATATTTGACGCAGTATCCGCCCCCCATGAGCGGAGACCGGTCGTGCCACCCACCATAGGTACTCCAATCCTGCCGCCTGTAAGTTTGAGCCTACTAACTTTGAACTCTCTAGATTTACGTAAACAGGAGTTATGGATATCCGCTCGAACACACACACCGACACACACACAAACACACACACGCATACACACAGACAGACATTGCACGTTATACATATATAGTAGGATATTAAGTCATGGCAGGCAGGTTTTCTAGCGTGCCTTGATCGGGATCTGGGAATTGAAATTTCAAGTTACATATCCTGAAATCGGGTAAGAGTATGATGTTTGTATGGTATTTAAGTTGTTACCTGGGATTGCTAGTGTTGATGCATCAAGGTTCTTCAGAAGGATTGAATGGAGAAGCAGAGGTGTCTCTGTGAAAGTTTTATGCGCAGCGCCCAAGACCAGTTTGAAGCTTCACAACTATTTGTGGAACATTCTCGATTTTTACCCCTTCAAAAATGCAAATACCCGTGGTTCTCCTGCTTTTATGCACTTTAAAGGCCTTGTAAAGAATGAAGTTTTGGGTTACACGCAACTGTTGAAGGTTCTAAGAGCGTGATTTTAATTTGATTTCTCACGTTTACCTGGTGTGCGTTTTGTAGTGAAGTGAAAGACAGAATGTGGATCAATATCTATTTTCTACCTTCATGTTCAAAATATCAGCTTTTAGAATTTGACATTTTTATTCACTAGCAAACACAGTCAAATACCATCGAATATTTTAGAGAATCAGGAAAAACGAAGCAATCTACATGTCGTTAACGAAGTTTTAGCAGCTACTTCAACGGATTCCATGATTTCGAAGTGCGATCAACGCAAACAATTACTTACAGAACTGTCGATGAACTCAAGGAAATATTCTGCCAATAGTCCGAGATATTAGCAACAGCAACTTGAGGACACCAAAATAAGCAAATTTCTTTTTGGCCAGAAATTGTCTGAGGTACCCAAAAAGGTTATAATGAGAAGGGCCGAGGCTGAGGGAATATAGAAATTGGGAAATACCAGCTAAGTTATACAGCCTGAATCATGGCCTTATGCGGCCACTTCCTATTCTGCAGAAGATGGCCAGGCAACTTTTTCGGTCACTTTTCTTCGATTGCATGAGTGATTACCTACACATAGCGCTGTAAATGGTAGAATAACTGTCTGGCCTTGTGGGAGTAACTCGTGGTGTAGCAGTCCCTCAGTATGTTAACACAGCAAAAGCTTTCTGCTACACGAGTGTAACTTCTCCTTCATGGAGACCACGACTGGAGGTGAGAAGGCTACAGCTGATATATACACTCAAGTAACGGAGATCGTCAGCCACCTGGGTTGGAGCAGAGTCATCGAGCGAGAACTTATGTGTAACCTCGTTTGGGTGTACGCATTGCCACCGTTATGGAGGTTTTGGCTATTAAACACAGGCAACAGTTGCTGTTTATCTAAAAAGAGTAGCAAATCCATTTCACTACGAAGTGCGAGCAAGAACCTTCGCTTCTCGCCTCCAAACACAACTAAAACTGAAAATAGTTGGGTCATAAAGTCTTCTCAGAGCTTCTATAACGGTGGTGCACAGAAGATAGTCTCGTCATACTACGGAAGTTTTGGGAGAGAGTATGGTTGGGACTAACGGACTCACTTCCTTAGGAGCTGGTTCAATAGACACCTGATCAAACTGAACGAAAGTCGCAGTTAAGATGAATGTAGAAGTACAACTTTGTGCCGTTCACCAGGTTGTTCTTTCTGAGGTTTCGTACGCGTCAAACAGTCAACACAACATCCTAAGTGGGATCATTTTGCGAGCCCACTGGTAATTTACTTGCAGACCCCCACTGAACGCCCTTTCCATTCGAGCAGTGGTGAGCAGTGGTCGCCAGATCCTAGCATGCATTTCATCATTTCCCTTTATGTATCGGTTTCTTCGTTATGTTCCACATAATTTGCATGCTTCTAAATCTTCTCTACAGTTTGGTGAACTGACATTCGAATTCCGAAGTAACAATACAAATATATATAGGTGAAAAACCCAGGTCATTTCAGGGTAGAATTAACGAAAAAGAACCATTTGAGCTTGCCTTCACTAGGTGGAGTAGCACCAAAAACTGTAAAGTTAGCTTTTGCTATGCAACTCGAGAGCTGACATATTGGATTAAGCCATTAATTTAACTCGTTGGAACCTTTTCTTGAATTGAATTTTAATTATTCTCAAGGGATTTGCTAGAACATGAGTCCTATTCGCGAAACTTCATACAGCTGCGTATACGAACAACCCTCACGAAACAATGCCTGTCTTTTGCTTGGTTATCTCCTTCAAGTATGATTTTCGGCACGACACGATCTTACTAGCTATAATTGCAGCGACTGAGCGATGCACTGGTGCAACGAGCTGTTCTTCAGCAAGGTGTTGCCCGAGTTCCTACACACTACCCGTGACCGGTTCGAAAAGTTCTCTTTATTTCTGCGTTTGGACAAAATAGAAGTTAAAGACGGCACAGTGGATGCTGACGTTGAAAGTGTTCAGAAGGACATGTATGAAAGGTATGTGAAGCTACTGAAAGCACATGACTGTGGGGGTTAGGAGGATGTTTCTTAGCTGTCTAAAATCAGTTTCCTGAGCGGTTTCCAGAATGATACTTGAAAAACGGATTTAGAGAAGTTTCAATGCTGAAAATTCGGTATTTCAATTATGGTACTTTGCCTGCCATGCTGATACACCTGATCTTCTTTTTAATAATATGTACAAGTTTATCTTGGTTTCTGTGAAGAACCACATATTTGCAGGAGCCTCAGTCTCTGCAAGCATATTGGCAACATCACATTCTCGTCGACAGCTGTACAGTGCTATCGGGCAGTCGTCGAGCAGTTTAATGTCATATATTCTGAAGATGACAAAGTCGATCATCCCATTGGACGCAAGATCTCCAGCGTACTGGGAATTCCTCAAGAGAACGTATCCATCTTCAAAATAAACACAACTTCTTGGCTTATACAGATCGATCGACCTGCAGAGGACGTCACTTCGGAATCGGAACTAACAATCGTCATAGTGGAGGTATTACAACTAGTGATGGATCTGAGCAAAAAAATAAAATCGATCGAGCAAATACAGTATCCCGTAGCATGTTTCGGGGAACTGAAGATTTTGGTGAGTCAAAGAGATGGCGTTGGCAATCTGGATGCCTATGGTACATTTGGATCTCGTTGTATTAACTGGACCAACATTAGAGTGGAGAGTGAAGAAACTTCCAAGGAGCTCAATTTAACAGAGCAAGAATCCTCGTGCGACAGCCCTACTGTCAAATGTATGGCGAAAATTGGAATCAATTGCGAATGTATCGACCGTCATGAGACATTCATTTCAATGGGATTGGACTCGCTGCAATGCGCCGAGTTAGAGATGGCATTGCAATCTGAATTTCCCAACTCCAACATCCCTACTGGCATAGCGATGGAGAAGCCGACTATTGAAGAAATGGATGCATACCTTATGTCGTGTAGTATTGCATGTGATACCAAGAATAAAGATGACAATACCTATTCAAATCACATTCCTTTGTCACCTCAACAAAAAGGGTTGGTGTTCCTAAATGAACTTGAGCCACACGCAAGAGCTCAATTCAATGAACCCGTAGTTTTCGCTGTGAAAATTGGAGATTTCGATGAGCCACGGTTCCGGGTAGTTTTAAATACCCTAGTTATGAGACATTCGGTTCTACGAACGATTTATTTTGCAAATGGTCAATCAATTCTGTCCGGCACTGAAGCTTTCTTCACTTGCAGAACGATGCAAGTTGATCCACAAACTTTTGTTCAAACTCCTATTGATATAAAAAGTACGAGTATGCATGCTATGGTCTGCGATTCGGTGGATCGCAAGGTGGTTTTCCTCGTCTTTCACCATATAGCCGTTGATGGCCACTCAATTAACATTATTACCAAAGAAATTGGTATGATGTATTCAGGGAGGGAACTACCTCTTCGGGGAAGGCATTACGCGGACTACGCCAGGCATACATCTAATCGCACTTACGAGAAGCAGTTGGTGAAATGGCGGCAGAAACTAAATCACAGAGAATTTCAACTACTAATCACTGACAAGTCGCGGACTGCCAAGCGAACGTACAATGGAGCAACAATCCAAAAAAGAATTCCCTCGACTCTGCAGAAGTCATTGAAAAAGCTCCGGCAGGCAGCCAATTGCACTAACTTTTGCATTTTCGTTGCGGTTTACAAGTTCCTTATCTACAAAGTCAATGGCATATCGGATTTTCCAATTGGCTTTCCTTCGACTTTGAGATCGAAAGAATATGCAGATACTGTTGGTTGTTTTGTTAATGTCGTACCACTTGTGGAACCCCTTGATCCGTCTTGTACACTCGTCCAATATCTGAATCGTCTGTCGGCTACCATAGCTGAGGCCAAGAGTATTGAAGTACCTCTGGATGTGCTTGTCAGTGATCTGGGCGTAGAACGGGACGGCAATGTCTCACCCCTGTTTCAAGTTCTTCTAGTTCAAGACAACGTTCAGCTGCCTGCCGCCGACACCAGTGTTGTCCTACTCAACTATACTACACAACTTGCGAAATACGAACAGAGTTGGTACTTTCAGAGTGATGGCAAGTCGAACAACATCAGCGTTGAATATAATAGCGACCTATTTCGACAATCAACAATAGAAGACCTCATTGATCGGTTTCTCTTCATTCTAGGCACTTTTGAGGAACTATCGCTCAACCGAGCGCTTGGGGATGTTGCGATTACCAAACCAGTGGAGCTGAACGCCATCCATAGCAAAGTAAACTCAAACATACGTGACATTCCCAAAGCTACGTTTCTGGAAATATTCCGTACAAACTTGTGCACTACTAGCTTGATCAAATTCAGGAACAAGAGTATAAGCTACAGGGAACTTGACGAGGAAAGCGCAAGAATAGCTGAATCAATCGTCGCTGTTTACTCCTCCCACTATGGAGAACTGCCTGTAGGAGACATATGTGCTGTCGTATTCATGGAACGATCGCTTCATTTGTTAGCGGTGATTTTTGCAATTTGGAAAAGCGGAATGGTAGCAGTACCGATAAGTCTCGATTGGCCTCCCCAACGCATCCTTGGTATGCTAAAATTGTTCAACAACCCTATTCTCATAGGTACAAAATCCGAGAAGCTGAACAGCTCTGCAAAGCGAATGGGTATCCCTGTGCTAGAAGACGAGTTGCATCAGAGGTGTTGTGCTAGATTTTTCAACCGATCAGGGCTAAGCGACCTGGCTTACATTACTTGCACTTCTGGGACCACAGGCACCCCGAAAGCGGTTTGTACACAGTTCTCTGGTCACAGAAACCTCGCTGCGGCTTATACTGAGACGTACTTTGTGCACAACAACTCGCATACGTACCAAGTGGTCAATTGCGGTTTTGACATTTTCTTTGCTGATTTGACCAAAACTTTCGTGAACGGTGCCTCGATCACGCTAGCTGAAGAACTCATACCGAATCCCGCTGAAATGGTGGGCGTCACAAATGCATACATCATGCCGGCATACCTTTCCACGTTGTCGTTGTCGGACATCAACCAATTGAGCTTCCTGGAAACGGTTCACTTTGGAGGGGAAGCGATTCAGGCGTCGGCTCTCAGATCACTTCTTCAAACTGGCGTCAACATCTATCAGGAATACGGTGTGACCGAGCAAACTGTGTACACCACTTGCAATCGAATGAACGTATGCAGTTCAATTACCGACATCGGAGCTCCTTATCGCAACCTGCACTGCCTTCTGAGGGACCAAGACGACCAACTCCTTCCAAATAGGTACCAGGGTATCTGTTACCTGAGTGGATGCGGTTTATTTAGAGGATATTACGGAAATGAAACACTAACAACCAAGACAATGCGGCAAGGAACTTTCGGAAAGGAACTGTGCACTGGAGATCTTATGAAGTGTGAACATGGACGCCTTCACTGCCAAGGACGCCACGAATTGCAAGTAAAAATAAGAGGTCGACTCATTGACTTGATTGAGGTGAGTCGCTTTTTGAGGGTTCATTGACTGCATAAAGCCTGTTCGTTTAGATACAACGCGAGATTGCTGCTCACAAAGAAGTGAGCGGATGTGCTGTGACCGTCCACGAAGAGAACGGATCGAAAGAGCTTGTTGCCTACATTATCTTCACCAACGATTGTAGGTCAGTAGATGAGTTGGTGCAGTCTCTGAGTGAGCGGCTGCCCAGTTACTGCATTCCCAAACACTTTGTTCAGCTAAGGAAGTTCCCTTTGACTCAGAATGGGAAAATTGACAAGGCGCTACTGCCGAAACCAGCACACAGAGCTCTCGCCCTCAAGACACGGCCGCCGCAAGGAGAACTAGAAATGGCCATTGTCAAATCGTTCAAGAAGTACACATCGAGGGATTTTATGGCGAACGAGTGCTTTTTTGACTTCGGCGGAGATTCTGTCAAGGTATATCACCTTGTGCTTATCATATACTTTGCTGTTTGAAATTTCCATCAACTGTACGTGATATCAAAACACCTTAGATAGTTGGTTAGGATTTTTTCTTTTGAAGCATCATTCAGTATTAATGTTCGATAGTGGAAAGGAATCTCCCATCAGTCGACCTCAGCTTTTGCACAGAATCTTGAAGTACCTTCACGACACTGGTTAAGGATTTTATGAGAAAGGACTATCACAAGGGGGATATCTCAATAGAAACACACAAAGCCACTGAAGATCGAAGGGAATTATTCTTGTTATCAAATATTCTATAAGTATTCAGAGTGTTTTATAACATGGAATTATCCTACATGATTCAACATTTCCCACAGTATTTTCTTCGTAGAACGGTTTGAGTATCGTTTCAAGAATTTTGTGATCTGGCCTGTAAAATTTTTGACACCCGGTGACATGAACAATGTGCATATTTTCAATTTTTTTTGAATGAACAAAAATAGAACTCCAAGTAGAGAAAATGAATGTCGCGCATAGAGTGGGAGCGATAGAAAAGGTGATAAAAAAGGAGTAGAAAGTATCATTCTGGGGTCGGCTATCGGCTTGATGTAAACGTAAAGGCTTTTTGAATGCGCCTTTATCAAGTGAAGTCTTTCGAATGTAGCGCACTCAAGTTGTTAGGTGGATGGATACTCCACCTGCGGGTTTTCAATGTTCGAGTTTCTCCATCTCTTCTTTGAGGGTCACCGTGGTAGCTTCTCCTGAGCCGGAGCTCTATTGTTTTGTAGACGATCTTGTTGTCTTTTCAGTCGTGCGGTGATCGTGTCATCGCACTGATCTTGCATTTTTTGATGGACAAGCCTTGCTTGTCTGACCGCCCCAACGCTCTCGTTTCTGGCCCGGTCAGCCATTTCCATCTGCTGTCCATTCAATCATCCTCACTTTAGAGTGAGTTGCTTTTGGCCCTCCTGCTTGCGAGCACGTGGTTGTTGATGCGAGCTGGACTAGGTGACCTCATCAATGCCTCTGCTCTATGTTCCAGAATGTTCCATTCCTCGACACCTCTTCTAGACCAACAGCTTTCTGTTCTTCCGCCATCCTCTGTTCATACTGCAGTTAGATCAGCCGCCACTTTTATTTGAGGTTATCTTGGGATGGGATTCGTCACTCAGGAGCCTGCCGTGACATTTTCCTCAGCTGCCCCTCACCTCGACTGTCTCAGGATGGCAGCGTCGCTATTTGTTACTGTTCACCGCAACTTCTTGAGTAGCCCGCTGATATTTGTTTCTAGATAATTGTCTTACCTGGCTTGGTGACATCGTCAAGAATTCGACAGGACATCTTCTTTTGCAGTCGGAACAGCCGAACTGCAAAAGACAGTATGAGCGATCGAACCAACCCGCAAAATATCCCCTGCAACTGCAGGGGATATTTTGCGGGTTCGTTCGATCGCTCATACTGTTGGCAGCTGTGAAGGAGTCCCTGAGGACACCACAGTGCTAGCTCCATGCCATTTGTTGCCTTCTCCATTGTAGAAGAGGATACCTTCCCCCCGTTTCTTTGAGCTTTACTCTTTTCTAGCAAAAAAATGTGGAAATACTTCTCATGTTTCTTTCAAAGGAAGTAATGCAGACGTTCCTAGAGAAGGAGATCGCGATAGCAATTGGAAGAGAAACTTGCTTTCCAAGAGTCGGAGAGATCGGCAATACTCCACTCATCGATGAGGTTGCAAGCAAATGTTTTTTTATGGACTAATTAATTTCTTCCAAATATCTCAAAATGAATGGGTAATGCGTTGTCCGAGTAGAGCGCACTGCTTTCTGCTATGACTAGGCCCACTCTTTGGCAAAATCTCGGAGTAGTTGGCATATACAGTGCGTTTCATAATTATAAGGTCACCCTCAAATTTTGCAGTTTCAAGGAAAGCAATCATTAAGGATTTCTTCTAGCATCATGAACGGATTCCCCAGCACGAATAACTTAGGTTTCCGTTTTCTAGCCGCAGCTGAATTTGTCTGAACTCTTTTAGAACAGTTTGTCGGTTTTTGCACCGTTTCATAATTATAAGGTCACCCTGAGAAAGTGAACAATTATTCATGGAGGAGAGGAAATTTCGTGTTTGAAGATACTTGTAAAGGTAAGCATGTGTAGCAAAGGCATTTCTAAACCTGACTGTCAACATGGCCGTGGTCATCTGCTTTCCTCTGATGAGAAGGCTCATCATGAAGGTGGGCTCCGTACTCGAGCCATTTCCAGGCAAATAGAGAAATTCCCTTGGTCCATTCAAAGATTTCTGGAGAACCCTGATGTCCCTAGATATAACACCGACTGTGGACACCTATGGAAGATTACTACCCGTGACGAGCGGAAAATTCTGAGGACTGTTTCAACAGTACGTCCTCCTTGAACTAGATCCGATCGGAATTAAACCTCTCTGTGTCGAAAACTACAGTCTGGAGAGCAGTGAGAAGATGCGAGAACATCACCAGGCAAGCAATGGTGAAGGTGCCGCGAACCACCCATCGCCACAGAGAGGCTCGACTCGGATTTGCAAAGATGAACCTAGGGAGAGATTGGGCAAAGGTAGATCTGCATCAGAATCTCACCATAGAACTGAATAATTCCTATTCAGGTCGTCTTTTCGGATGAAAAGAAGTTCACCCTGGACGGTCCTGACGAGAACAAGCGACACTGGCGTGACTTGAGGAAGGAACCAGCCTACTTCAGCCGTCGCAATTTTGGTGGAGGAAGTCTATGGTGTGGAGTGCATTCTGCAATGATGTCGTGTTGGCTCTACCTCTCGAGAGCTGCAGTATGGACTTCAAGGATTACTAGAACGTGTTGGAGAATCATCCAACACCCTTTCTATGCCATCGCCGTCACCTCAACTATGTCTTTCAGCAAGACAACGCCTTCATTCATGTGAGCCGTGCAACGGATGGGTGGCTGCAATGCCAGTAAATAAGCGTTCTGCCATGGCCACAGTCCCGACCTCAGCCGGATGGAACATATCTGGGACATAATATTCAGACAGGTTTATGCGACTAACCGTCAGTTCCAGGGCAAAGAAGAGCTGAAGCGAGCACTTATCGAAGCATGGAGAGCAACCGATGAGGAACATCTTCGAAACCTAGTTTCTAGTATGCCACGCAGGCTCTTTGATAATGTTCTTGAACAAGGAGGAGCTATAGATTATTAACTGTTGTACATATGCCATTAACATTGATAAATCATTTACTTTCTCAGGGTGACCTTATCATTATGAAACGGTGCAAAAGCCGACACTATCTTTAAAAAATTCGTAAAAAATTTGAGGTGAAGGATATTGCGACCAAAATTTGAGCACGGAGGTACATTGTGACGAGGAATCTACCAGTGTTTGCCAAAAAATTCCATTCCGGCCGCTTTCTCCAGAATTGCAAAAATCTGGGGTGACCTCATAATTATGAAACGCACTGTAGTGCAGGAAAAAGAAAATGTCCTCTATAGATCGCCCGAACCCGTAGAATCGGTTGTGCAGCAGAGGTAACAACATCCATTAGATTTTTCCATTTCCATCAATTTTCTCCGTGAAATCTCAGAAGCCGCCCCATCGCTTGCTGAGTTGCTCATCTATAAACCTCCAGACAGCAGAAGTCCGTAGATTTAGATTAGAGCTGGTGAAGTCGGACACACCCAGCTCTTGCTTCAAAGGGCCGCTCTTGGTTTCCAATAAATGGGTTGTTATTCCGGCTCTATGAGTTGGAGCTCAGTTTTACTATAGTAGAAAATCAGGATGTTTCTGTACCCAGGACACAGAGGTTTTTTTAGGTTATTTTCATCGTTGTGTTTCAGAGCTAAACTGGAAGGCTGGCGTTGACTTTGAGAGTTTTTTGCATTTATGCATTAGTGCTTTAAGGCAAGGCACAGTTCACAATAATTTTTTGTCACTCTTTTTGAGATGGAAAGTGAAAGTGTTGGTAAAGAATAGTGCATCGTTGATGAAGAAAGCAGGGGAATTCGTAAAAAACAAGGCTTCTTCAAAATAGCGAAAATACAGTCTGTACGAGTTTATCATGTCGAAAATGGCATGGAAGTGGCATTCGGACGAGATTTTATTTTATGCAATTGCATAAAGAACTGACTACATTGAAGCGGAAATGTTCGAAACTGCCTTCAACTGTCGCCATGGGTCATCTTGAGGGTCCACTGTGAATGGTTGAGCCCCTCTAACGACCTAAAGCAGCGCTCAAAAAACTTCGACCGATCGCTTTTACGTTTTTTCGGTTTAGCTTATTTCTCAGTGGAGCAAATCGAGCGAAATTTTGGTATGCTTAAATGAAATGCATTTAACACTATCCAACACTATTTGACTGGAAAGCAGAAATATCCACATGACTAAGAGGAAGGTGTTTGTTGCTGTAGTAGACTTGCTGGGAGCAAGTTTGCGACGTCTACAGATATTCACACCTTATGTGGGTTTTTTTCTAGTGTGTTCGGCATTAGCGCTCGTACACTTTAAACATGGCGAAAAGGAAAGGTATTTCAGAATGACCATCATCCGTATCTCCAATTGGTTTTGAGTTCAAGCTCTTTGGAATATCTGAGATATGAGCAGTTTGCAGGTTAATAGTGGTAAATATCCACAATATACCCGCTACACATAACGAGTTTTCGCATGATTGAATCCAGTGGGAGAGGGGCTACGACTGAGAACTGCGGCTGGAGAAGCGTTTGGCCAAAGACTTTCGAGCGCTACTCTATGTGGATCGTATTTCGATCTGAAATTGTCTCATATGCTATGTGGAGCCATAGGTTCATCCTCGGCGGATATCTAAGAAACCACTTTTCTCTTGAACCGCGTCACGATAGGACCTTGTGTCATTCACGTAGTACTCTAGCTTCAGAGTTTGCAAGTGTTTGTTTCCTCCAAGGTGTTTTAGTTTTCTCTTAGAATTCTTGCGTTGGACTCAAATAGAGAACAGAGGTTGCATTCTTGCTATCAAAGGAACTTTAGAAACCCATGAAGTAGTTCTTGCTCCGCTTTCTTTGCGACGAAGTGCCTCTGTTCTCGAAGTGATGAACCCCATTTCATTGCTCCACCACAGTTTCTCCTAGCACGGGTTCCTTTTTTTCGTGGTTAGATCACCAAACGCTTATATAGACTTGTATATGTAGTAGCATCCATGTGCGTAGCGAGCTGGTGTGCAGAAGGGGGCGTGCTCACTCTCTGCTCCTGTAGGAAACTGCTAGATTATAAATGATTATTCTGGATATCGACAAGAAATAGAATTACCTGTTGTAGAGTCGAGCTTAAGAAAGGAATCTCCACACCTAAGATAAAAATATCGTACTGTCGAGCAATCAACGGGATCTGCTTGTTGGGAAACAATTAAAGTAGAGGGATCAAGAAATAATAAAATGGCTCTACCAGATGGAGGAATAATTTTAACTAAAGGTTTAGAAAAACAAGTGCCACTAAACGGAGTCCATTTCAAATTGTTCGCAGAAATTGCCATGCAGCGATGAATTTGTACCAAGTCGGTACTCAATGAAGAGGCTGCGATATCAGTGTGCCCCAAAAGGTTACGGAGAGTGAGAGTAGGGTTGGCCTCTAGAGATGTATGGAGAGCAGAAGCTAAGAGATTTGTTCAATCACAAAGCGACAATAACGCGTGATGAAAAAGTGAGGAAACCGCTGAACTCACCGTGCCCTCTACCAGAAGATTAGAAGTCACCATGCCGGTGTCCACAACTGTCGATCTCGAACGACAGATGAGTGGTGCAACAGCGTAACCTTGGTCAGAGACGATGAGCCTTGCTTCGCAGTCTAGAATTCGACCACTGGATTCGCGCCAGGACAGTGAGAACTCCCCAGAATCACTGATCCAACTTTCGTCTAGTTGGCGGCCCTTCATTTTCATGACTGGTGCGAACCGGCACGACTCTTGCTCGTTGGGGGTCCATAGAAGAATTGACCCATCCTGGAGCACGCAATTACCTGACTCATAGGTAAATTGAGCTAGGTTCGGGAGAGGTAGCTCCATGGCGCATGTGAACAATGGTTGGGATAAGAGAGCAGTTGCGCTCCGAACAACACCCGAAAGGAGTAACAACAAATTATAATTGAATTCGAGCTTGCCCAAAAGTCATAAGACTGAGTCATGCTACCGTACTCACATATATGATGCTGCATCATCAGCTTGCAAGACTCGAGAGACACTACGGAATGGGTTTCGGGAGTGTTTTGGTGACGCGCTCCGAAAAAGTTTACTGAGAAGGTGACGGACTGAGTGGCAACTTTGCACAGGTGGGCCGCAGCGTCATAGCGCCGTGTATTAGGACGATAAATATGAACCGATAGAGGTTTAGGGGTCTCTTCAACCGGGGGAATGATCCATGAACAATTATACGAATATGTTGGAATACGCGTGAGTGCATCAGCTGGGTCGTGCGGGCACAGCCATGCCGACGTCGAGAGTGCTTTACCCGATGCAAAACATAAAAGCATAGATAAGCGAAAAGCAGCTCAACTTGAGGCTTCGGAATGGAAGACGAACGAGAGGAAGATTGGCCGAACGCAGAATTCGCCCACTCCTCATTTCGCTTTACTAACGCATTGACCCTAGCGTCAGATCTTTCCAGTACGGATTGATTTTCTTGCAAGGAAATAGAGCCCTGATCTGATCGCGAGCCTGCGAAAGCTCTCTATCCCTATCGTAGCGAGAAGGCTGAATACCATCACGGGATGAAATTCGAGAAGAATTACGATCGCTCGATAAGCTGCGCAAAGAAGTGCCGTTCGGCGTGTGACCCGAGGTGACGGGCAGTGGCGAGAAAAATGACCAATACCTCTACAATCAAAACAATTACATAGTCGTCGTTTCCACCCTCACGGGACGCGTGAGCAGTCGCCTTCCAGATTGTTGGCTGAATTGCACCTGCCCGCGGTTAAATGGGCTTCTACGCCTTTCATAATTCTAAAGTATCGCAGGTGCCGCCGCTTTAACCTCTATAGCATGGGTTGGTAGCGAGGGCCTAATGAGACGGTCAGCAGTGGCCTCAGCTAGCAGTTGCTCGACCATTTGGGCTTTCGCGACAACTTGCTCAGATGTTGCCGGATTATCAAGCTTTACATAACAGCGAATATCGGGTCGCAACCTTGCTACAAATTCTTCGAGCACCCTGTCCTTATGACTAGCTGGGTCCTGATCAGAGTTGGCTGCTCGAACCAGCAACAAAAGCATATTAGCAAAGATGTTGATTCTCCCGTTTGTTGTTGGCAAGAAGATAGGGCTTGACGGGCCATGTATCGATGCCGAGGTCCTTCAAAAGACTTCTTCAGGTGCGCTACTACCGAGGAATAATCTTCACGTTCATCGTCCGCATGTTCTTTCACCTTTTCCCTAGCTACGCCATCTAAGAACCCCGTCAGGAAAATGCTTTTTACTGAGATGTCCATGCGGTAGATCTCATGCGCATTATGTCCTCTAGGCGTCTTAGCCATAACAAAAACTGGAGGGGGTCCTCTTCGAATCCAGAAAACGGTACTATGCGTGGTAGGGGCCCGTCTGGGCTCACCATAGCCACCAATGGTAATGAATCAATGCGCTCGCCTGCTGCTGCGAACGAACTATTCGGATCCGAGAGCAAGCTGGAATTGCCTTCGTTAATAGTTTGGGCGAGCTCTGTCGCCCCGCCCTGGCTTCATCTCGAACTTCTACTATGGCAAGTACCGTGGCATCCCGAAGAGCCATATCGTCCCTTCCCCGGACCGTGGCGCGCTCATCAATATCTGACAATGCTCCCGCCAGGTTAGCGGAAGCTGGAATTTCGGAATCTGTTATAGGCGTCAGGTCAACTACGACCCTAGACTCGGTCGACTGAGACCGGGTCACGGGGGGTCCCATGACCCCACGCACAATCACGGAAGATGACTACAGAAAACAAAGCTTCAAAGGAAACTGAAAGGAAAATGAATGTCGAAGGGCATGGCTCCTTTGAATGTATCGGGGTGGGCGTCAGCCAATGAGAGGCCGCTACTGTAATCCCGGGGAGTCAAGTCCCAGAGCCGCTTTGAATTCTCCTGATTCATGATGATGTTAGGCACGATGAGGCTTGGGAACAAGCCGAGAATTTAAAACATTCAATGGAAACGGTCACCCTATCTAGCGCTTAATCTTTGATGGCGCCGATAAACTCCTGCCGCAGGGAACAAAGAGAGGTATGTGGTGTGAAAGCGCTTCAAAAAGCCAACGGCTGGAAATGTTGAAAAAAAAACTATAATAATCTTATGCCAGAAGGCGAGTACGAAGCAGACGCGGCATGACCAATCCTAGTGATTATCTCCTTCGTGGGGTGGGTAAGTGTTGATGCGATCCTCACAATGAACTCATCATATGCGGTCAAAGGACGGTGCCGCCGATGAAAATATACTAAAGATCGCCAGGCGATGGCGCTTGTACGGCGCGGCTCACAGCGTATTGATAATCACCGGCAGTATTCTCATTTATAGTGTTCTATGGCTAAAGATATCAATAGCATCATTAGAGTACGGCATTATTTTAAAAGGAAAATGAGGAGTGGGATAACATTCGTTTTCCAGATTTCTTTCAAACCTTTTGACCAAATTACTAATCGCCCCTTTGAGAATTTCGTGAAATTTCGTAACCATTGTTCGATATCTTCCACAGTCCTTCTTTTTGCTGCAATATTCTGACGATTGTGTTGATATGAGAAAGTGCAAGCTTGCGAAATGATATTTTTTCAGTATTGCATAGGGTTCCCCTACACATCAAATGACTAACACATTTTCAGGCAATGCTGACGGTGCAGGACCTTGCGTCACATGGCTATAAAGTGGATCTCAAAACGTTTTTTTCGTTACGTACTGCCGAGAAAATTGCCTGCTATTTGGCTTCACAAGAATGTGTGACAAAAGTGCCGACTAAGGAGTTCTATGCAACAACACGCTTCACTTTTGACATTCCTCTCTCACCACAGCAAAAGCGACTGTGGTTCCTGTCGAAAATGTATCCTGAGCGTGACTCCTACATTATCCGCCTCAATGTCAAACTCAAGGGTCCGGTAGATGTAAGGATATTCAAGAAATCTTTCAATGCAGTCGTGATCAATAATCCTGCCATGAGATCAGTGATTGTTCTGCATGAAATCGACCCAGTACTAGTGCGACTCTCAGGAACAGAGTGTTTTTATGATCTCCAGCAGCAAGTCGAAGAAGATCCCAAGCTGGATGGCTCATCTTTAGTGGTTGCTGAAATTGTGGTAGAGCGCCAATACTGCAGACTGGATCTCAGAATTCAGCATCTAATTTGCGATGGCAGGAGCTTGGCCATAATAGGGGAGCAGTTGGCCATTGCATACAATGGAGGCCAAGTCCGTTGTTGCGACACCACCCAGCACGTGTCGGAAACTGATGACTCTTTGAAGTTCTGGAAGGACTATCTGAAAGATTATGAACCCTCAGTAATTCATGAAGAAGGTGGCAAAGGAGCTCGTGACGGCGAAGCTGGTTACATCGAAGTAGTGCTCGACTTTGTGAAAGAGCAGGAGCTCAGAGAGGTGTGTTCCATCTACGGTTGTACGCCCTATCAAATTCTAGTTCTATGCTACGTTCAAACTCTCAGAACATGCAATGACTTAAGCGATATCGTCATTGGGACTACAGTGGCGAATCGGGCTCAAGAAAACATGGATATTGTTGGACTTTTCGTCGAAACTATCCCATTGCGATTCAAAAAAGAGTTCGCCGATACAGCAGAGCATTTGCGTTATGTTGGCGATCAGATCCTATCTGCTATGGAACATCAAAGCACACCTCTTACGAAAATCATTGAAGAAGTCGTCGTAGGTCGTGACTTGGCGACTAATCCTCTTTTTCGGCACGTTCTTACCTTGGAGAGCGCTTCTATCAAAGAGCTACCCAAGATGAGAGGGATAGAGTCGGAGGTTATCGAGCCTCGAACAGTGTTTACACAGTTCGATCAAAGTTGGATTTTCCACCAAGGAGATGAACTCACCTTACTGATACAATACGACAAAAGTCGCTTCACAGCATCGCTGATGTGCGAGCATCTTAATCTCTTCAAGTTCTTTTTGAATCGCCTTCTGAAGCAGAACCCTTTTAACTTTCCACTGCATTCCATGACCGCTTCCACCATACATGACACCCCTCGATGCAGAAGTTTGGGAACAGCCTTTGCCGAGCAAGCAGTGCTACTACCAGACAGCATTTGCCTCGAGAGCAACTCTGGGATGCTCAGTTTTCAGAGCGTTTTGGCAGCTGCCAGAGGCTTTGCAAAGAGAATGCAAACATCAATTCTTCAAAACAGCGCAGAACTTCCTCGAAGTGATGATGTGATCTGCCTTATACTGCCTGAGTCAATCGAAAACCATATTGCCATGATTTCTGCTCATCTGCTGGGTTGCGCCTATTTGTGTCTTCCCCCAGATACTCCGTGTGAAAGGATAAACTTTGTACTAACAGATTGCCAAGCCCAACTGGTAGTCACAAATCTGAACTTGCACGGAAGTTCAGTACCAATTCTGCCTCCTCATGTCTCGTTTGAGAACCAAAGTCGTTATCGGTCAAGGTCCTGTTCGAATTCCTTCGCCTACTTGATTTACACGTCGGGCACTACCGGCAAACCAAAAGGTGTCTGTGTAAGCCATCAAAGTACGTTGAATATGTTAGAACATGCAACTAGACTGTACCATTTCCGACCTGGAGGGCGTGTTTTGCAATTCACGAAGAGCTCATTCGATGCAAGTGTTAGCAATACTTTTGGCAGCCTCTTGAATGGGGGCCTTCTGAGTGTAAGGGACGAGAACGCAGACGTCGTGCACGATTTGGCCCGACGCCAGCCTATTACAGTGCTGCACATGACGCCTATCATCATGGAGATGTTTGACGAGCACGATTTAGCCCGGCTATCACAAGTGGAACTTTGGAGTTTTGGAGGTGAAAGTATCTCTGAATCCACATTGGCTACAATGATCAGTCACGGACAGCGACTTGTTCAGCTTTACGGACCAACTGAGACTACTTGCTACCAAACATCACTTAAGATGAAAAGGGGGCATAGCTCGACTTGCTTGGGAGAAATTATTCCAGGTCTGCAGCATATCCTGTGTTCTTTTACTAATCCTTTAGTAACACGAAAGTCTGTGGGACAAGTCGCCTACAGCGGAGAGAACCTTGCGAGGGGGTACACCTCTGCAGCTGATAAAAGCTTCGTTGAGAACCCATTCCGAACATTCGAGGATCGTATTCTCCGGAGGAACCATAGGCTATACCTGGTTGGGGACAGACTACGACGCGACGCGAGCGGATGCTTATATTTCCTGGGACGGTACGACGATCAGGTAAAAGTAAAAGGACATCGCGTTTATCTAGCTGAAATCGAAAGTGAAGCACGCAAGATCAATGGCATTACAAATGCAGCGGCTGTTATTCAAAGACCTAAAATGGGGTCGAATCAGCTGATTTTATTCTACACAGGACCAGCCAGGGACCCGTTTGCTGATATTCAGAAACAGTTCCCGTCATCTATGTTGCCGTCAAGAGTAATCAAAGTTACAGAGTTCCCTCTCACCTCGAACATGAAAATTGACAGAGCCAAGTTATCCTCAATGGTCAGCTGTTCATCAGCTTCAGCGATTAAAGCGGAACCACAAGGTAGCATTGAACGACAGGTCCTGGAAAGGTTTCGAGAAGTTCTGCAACAGACTGAAATTGATGTCAACACGAACTTCTTCCAGGCTGGTGGACATTCATTGCTTGCCGTTCGTTTAGTTGGCCTTCTTGAAAAGTCCTTCAGAACATCAGTTCCGATAGTCAAAGTTTTCGAGTTTCCGTGTGCGAGGGAGTTGGCCAACTGGATCAGAAGTGTTTTGGACGTTCATCCTGATTTAAGCGCAATTACAAACATAGCAGGTGGTGAACAACCGTCACCTCTTCAGACAACTCTTCTCCGCTCGTTCAAAAATCCGAGGATACAAGCCTTGTATGATATGTCGCTGAGTGTCACTTTGAAGAAGGAGTTCCGACAAAGGAGGTATGTAGAGATTGTCAACCAACTCAGCATGGTTCATCCTTCACTTCGCACCAGGTTCATCAAGAATGGCCGGAGGTATTGGAGAGAAATACTTTCTGGAACTGAGTGCTTCCAGGACTTGAATGCCGAAGAAAGAGTCACCCTTGACCCATCCGCCAAGCCTCTCTTCATTGCCCGTCTCGATAGGGATCGTATTTGTATTACTGTGAATCACGTAATCACTGATGGGCATTCTATGCAAGTGATTGTGACGAGTCTGATGCGAATACTCAAGCATCAAAAGGTCTCAATGGATGATGGCCTCAAGCTACACTCCTGGATATCGCAGAGGTTCTTACAATCCAGGAATGATGACCTGCAATATTGGAAAGAGTTGCTGAAGGACTTTGTATACAACCAATTGCCCACAACATTTCCTAGATTGGCGATCAATGAGGCTCATGCCGGAGAGTTGTTCGTCTCCAGCAATTGGCTAGCATCAGCAGTTAAGTCATGGGTGGAAAGGTACGGATGCTCCCCTTTTGTGGCTACACTTACACTGTTGTCGAAAACCCTCCAACTACTCAGCTGTGACCCTCAACTCCCATTCGCTATCGGATTTCCCGTTAACCTCAGAACTGAGGAACTTCAAAACTCAGTTGGGTATGGTGTGAACACAGTGGTGGTGTTTCAAGACACGAACGGTACGCCAGCGGAAGTGCTTCAGAAGATGATGGCCCACGTTGCTGGAGCCATGTCGCATGCATTCATTCCCTATGAAGAGCTAGTCAATTTGTCTCCGTCTAAGAAGCTCTTCAGCGTTATGCTCACTTATGACAGTTATTCCATCTACGAAAATGAGGAATTGATCGTAGAACCGGATGCGACAACCGTTACGAAGTTCGAAATTTCCATTTTCGTTAATCCTGAAAGTGATACGATCCGATTTGAGTATAACCGAACACTGTTCGATGAAGAATACATCAGCAACCTTGTTGAGACCTTGCAGAACATCGCGCGCAACTGGGAATATCGCATTCCGAGGACGGTTGGCGATCCTCTGCGCATTGGTAAAGCTGTGTTTGATCCATCCGACATCGCAAAACGCATCGTTTTCTTGCCGATTGAGAACATGAAGATCAAGTATACTGACGGGCTGGAGCTGCACTACAGTAGCTGTGTACAAGTTGATGATGCTATCCGACGAGCTCTCATGCAGTTACCAAGACACCTACACCCTCAGAAAATAGTCTTCAACAGAAAAACCATCTCCGAATTTCCTCTTAGCTCTCAGCAACTTCAAATGTACTACCTGTCCCTTGAAGACCCTCATGCATATGTGCTATCGTTCCTGAAAAAGTTCCCGAAGACCGTTTCAATTGTTCATCTCCATAGAGCGCTGCTCTATGAAATACAGCGTCACGAAGCACTGAGGACGATTTTCTTCGAGGAACAAGGCCAACCAAAGCAAATGATACTCTCCATGACTGAAGCATACGTAAGCCGAACTGTCCAGAGCACCACAGCGCTGAGGAAATCAGTGGAACTGTTTTGCCGAGCCCCGCTTGACCTTATGCACTGTGTTCCAATCAGGGTGATGTTATTTGAAGAACGTGACTGTATCGTAGCTGCAATGGTTCTTAATCATATCATTTCGGACGCATGGTCGACGACTGTACTGGAGCGGGAGCTCAGCACTGTATTGGAAAGCCTTCAGAATGGCAGAAGGCCATTCATCTGTCGACAAAATTATACCTATAGAGACTACTGCCAAGAACCTAGTAAAAGTACAGAAATAGACGAAGAATACGTCGATCAGCTCGTCAGCGCGGAAGGTATCCCTCTCGAAGATGAGCGAGGGGAAGTGGAGCGATTGCAGTTCGAGTTTCCCGAAGTGGTGGCTCAACGGTGGACGAAACGATGCGGCGCCTCGTTGTTCGTCGTTATGCTGACGATCATTTCAAATAGCGTAATGAACTTATACGGACTGAAATCTATCAACGTAGGAGCCCCTTACTTCAATCGATCAGCAAAAACGAAATCATTAATGGGATATTTCCTCAATAATCTAGTATTTCATATAAGGAAGGAAGATGTCGAGTCGAAAGGACTTCAGACGCTACAGCGCCATGTTACAAATGTCTTGTCGAAGAATATTCCCTTTGCTGAGCTAATGGCTTCTACACGTCGACTGAGAGGAAACCTTAAGCCGTTATTCCAAGTTTACTTCAATTGCAGGTATGATTTGGAATTCGATGAAGGTGATGATCACGATATAATGTCGATGCTTCCAGTGACTTCCCAGTTCCCACTGGAATTCGATCTTGACAGGTGCGAAGGTGGCTATCGTACCACATTGAGGATGCAAAAATGCTTAAGTCGTAAGGATGGAGCACAGCTCATGGAAAACATTTGTCAGCAGCTCCAGTCCGAAAAAATGCCGATGGAATTGAGGGAGTGCAGCCAAGCGAAGTGTGTTGACGTGGTTGTGCAGCTGGCGTGCAAAGTTCTAGGTGTAGAAGCACTTGATCAGAATGATAACTTTTTCTCTGCTGGGGGGAATTCGCTGCAGTTGATTGCTTTCGTGGAAATGCTCGAAGAAGCACTGAATACAGAAATAGAAGTTTCAGATGTTTACCAGATGGAGTCGTTTTTAGAGTTCGCCAACCAAATACAGTCCTCGACCTCGACGGCAGGAGGAGAAGCTCACAGCCGACATGTGGAACTTCAGGACAAAAATTCTGAGAAAAGTGATGCAACCGCTTCAATCACGATTTCGTTGACAGAGAGACTCCCTCGCTCAGAAAGAAAGGGCCTCAGCGACAATCCAAACATCAGTTTATCGAATTTCTTACTAACACTGAAGAAGTACGGATCACGGAACTGTCTGATTGAGCCTGGATCTTCCATATTTACCTATGCCGATTTGGCATCTTCGATAGAGCTGCAAGCAGTCTCGATCCGACGTTCGTATTGCCAGGTCATTGGTGAAACCCTGCGCAATGATACTATCATACCCGTTGTTGGAGAAAACTCCGCTTCTACTTTCATCTCCTGTTTGTCAGTAATAGCCGCTGGTGCTGCTTACCTTCCAATTGATTCCAGTTACCCTATTGAAAGGATAAAATTGCTTCTCAAAGAGTCACAAGCTGAATGCTATGTTGGAGCAGATATTTCAGGAACCCACTTCAGTCGCCTATCAACAACTTCTCACGTCAGAGTCCGTCGACTTATGAACAGTAGCGCACAGGAAGATCTAGCGTATGTCATCTACACTTCCGGTACAACCGGCGTTCCTAAGGGGGTATGTGTAAAACAGGAGTCCGTGCTCAACATGATGCAATGCTCCACGGTCGACTTTAGGCTGAACTCCGATGACGTTGTATATCAGTTTACGAATTTCGTTTATGATAATAGTGTTTTAGAGATTTTCATGACCCTAGTAAACGGAGCAAAGTTAGTCGTCGCTACGGAGATGTTTACTCCAAGGCGATTCTTCAGCCTCATGGATCAACATGGCATTACTTATTGCCTACTTTTCCCTGGAATCGTGGCCACGTTCAATGAGCAGCATTTCAGGAGACTCGCTGATCTCCGCTATTGGATTGTTGGAGCCGAGAAGTTTCCTCAGCAAATGTTTGACATAGCCATTGAAGCCGGAGTAAGCATTATTCAGAACTATGGCCCTACTGAGACGACGGCGTACGCACTGACAAAATATATGAAGATTACCGATCACTCCAATAATCTAGGTCGAGCAATTCGGAACACTGAAACCATGGTAAAGGAAGATGGCGAGTTGTTGCTCAGAGGGAAAGGCCTGATGCGAGGTTATTTTGGATCAACTCGCCAAGACGTTCTTTTGGAAGATTCCTGGTATGCCACGGGAGATCAGGTTCAGTCACTCCCAAATGGCGATATACTTTTTGTGGGAAGGAGGGACAGTCAAGTGAAAATCCGTGGGCAGCGCGTTGAATTGAGTGAAATTGAGGCAACAGTGAATGCTGTCGCAGGAGTCAAGCAGTGCGCAGTCGTATTCCAAGATCAAGTTCTTCTGGTATTCATCACGACTGACTCACCAAAGGATAACGTGGTACGTAGAATTCTGGACAAGTCTTTGAATTCGCTTCCCAGCCACATGCGACCCTCTCACGTGTTTCCAGTGGACGAGTTTCCACTCACGAAAAACGCGAAAATCAACTTGGCACTTCTCAGGGACAACTGGAAGAAATACTTGTGGAAAGACAGGCTTCGCGACTTGGTTGAGAAAATTCTTGAGAAAAAAGTGGACCCTGAGTTGAGCTTCATGGATGCTGGGGGATCAACAAAACTGGCAATCAAACTGAGTCTCCTGCACATGTCCAAATATGGAAATACCTTTAACATAGCCCATCTGCTTCAAAGGCCATTGAAGAATGTAGGTGCAGGCAACGAGCAAAATATGTTTAATGAAAATCCGAAGAGGACGGAAATATTAGACAAGCGACTCAGAAAAATATGGCAGAAGGTGCTCAAGAGCGACAATATTCAGTCGAATGACCATTTCTATTTCAGCGGGGGCAATTCAATTACCCTAATAAAGCTGTTGTACGAAATCAATACTGAATTTGGAGCACAATTCAAAATTCAGAACCTTTTGAGCAACCTAATCTTCAGCGAGATGAGCTCAATGATAGGATCACAGAGTTCTCCAGTGAGCATTGCCAGTATAGTTCATGATCCTTTGGCTCCTCGATTCAGCGTAGTGTTCATCCACGCGCTTTATGGAGGCAGCGCTCCATATTTCGAGCTAATACGATCTCTGATACAATTGGATGACTTCCAAATCATTGCAGTACAACATCCGAATACCTTCGAATTCCAATGTGATGACATGAAATTTTATGAGAGTGTGCAGTCAGTAGCTGAGAGATATGCCGAGGAGGTAAGAGAACATTCATAACTGTTACTATTTTTGGATTTGTGTGAAAAGTAGACTTCAAAAAGTCTGAACTTTGTGGAATCCGTTGAAGCTATTGAGTTGATTCAAGGTCCTTGATAGAGTTCCCACTTTCCTTCGTGATTTTTTAATCAGCACGATGAGGAGCAATGAACAATGAAATCACCTTAGTTAGTCATCCTTGTGGTCCACCTACTTAGCAGGTCGGCGATTCTCTTGTTTCCAGAACTGAGAGACTGCGAGTCGAAAATTTGAACCACTGCCCGATTTATGTTATTGTGAAATGTCGTCAGCTAAGAAAGCCTCTAGGGAGCAGAATAACTAATGACCAGAGGGGGCTATGACAGGAGAATAGGACAGGAGGATGGGGTGCTGTGCCCCACCTTACTCCTCAACTTTTTGATGGGAATCTTAAGTTACTCGCTATCGGGCATTATCATGAAAGAGGGTCATTGAAGCTCTTCTCGGCCGTTTTTTTTCCGATGTCTCTTTTGCACTGAGTGCAGTAAACGAACCGTGTGGTCTTGCGGGAGCAGCTCGTAATACAGTATTCCTCTCGAGCATAGAAGAATCTGATCTTGATGTGCATGTATGATTCTCTTGCATAGGCGACACGTTAAGGCAGCCAGACAGCACGGTGGGAGTTGGAGTGATAGAGCATCCAAAACTGATCTCAAGTAATCAAGTCTCCTAGAAAGCCCTCGATGCGAATAGAACCAAAGTACCGTGTATAGTCCATCAAAGTGAGAGGGATCCATCGAGTCTGCTTTTTTCGGAAGCCGAGGGCCTGTAGGCGGTTGAGGATGTCGTGCTTAAGCCCGGAAGGCACCTATGCGGAGGAGCTTCTGAAATGTTCTACAACCAGCGCGTGATACACCATGTATATCGATCAGAAATCGAAAGATCCAGCCCTAAAAAAACTCTATTAAGAGTTTCAGCCAATCTGATACTAGCAGAAATAGTTTCTTGATTTTCTGCCAAGTACCCTCCAACATCAACTGTCTAACCCTAATAATATTATATGTTCATCTCGCTGAACACCTCGTTACACAGTACTTACATATATGGGGAAAAACGCGAAGTGTAGCATATAGGACCAAAAACCAATTGGTACAGCTATGAGATTATGAGTTCAGAAAAAGACTCATGTTCCAGCTGTGTTGTATCGTTGCTACCGCTCTTCTCGTTGTAGGTGAATCCAATACGTGCGCGTCTGATGAACTTCAAAGGAGTCCTAGCAAAAGAGGCTTTATTTCTTCAGGGGTAGCACGGCTACTTTCTCGTGGAAAACTCTGATCTGCTTTAGAGCTACACATGAGTACCCATGAGCAAAAAAAACAGTAATATGGATGATTCGTAGCCATGAGAGCCCTCATTCCTCTGAATGGCATGGAGATCCCAAAAGGCGGAGTTAACTGGTACTACCTGGTAGGGCTGCTGAAGTATCAGAGTCATAGCGAATTGACCGAACGAAGAGAAACTACAGCAGAAGTTCTTCGATTCATCGTACGAACGCTCCCGCGGGGATGTTGAAGAGCGGATTGACGTAGAGAAGAAGGCATCTACTGCTACGCGGCGTTATCAGTACGGTAGAGAAATTGGTTGTAAGAGTGACAACAGACGCGTTAACAGCGGAGAAGTTCTCATCAACACTCCTTCATCATTAATATTGGTCGTACGAAAATCAAACGGCTTCCCCGCCGGATCCTCCAATACGATCTAGCCTTGGTTTCCTGGTAGCATTACCTCGATATCTTTTACAGTATTAAGACTTCAAAGGACGATTTTCTTAGCACATGGTTCATTTCCGTTTCTTTCCCTCCACTGCTTTAGATAACCTTCAGAGTCCTCCTGTTCATAGAGAAGGTGCTGCAGGCTGCCAAGTCATGGGCATAACGAGATCAAAGGCGCTCTTTCCGTCTTCATTTCTGAATCCTATTCCTTTACCCGTAAGTCCTTTCTAGAAAGTCTGTTCACTGCCAACATGGCCATTCGGATCACTCATCACCCGTTATGGTCAGACAGTTTCCTGGAACTGATCCGCTGACATCGCCAGGACGCGGATAAAAGTCATCTTTTATTCATTTCTACCGTGTCTCCTTGAGCTACGGGACATGACTGTTTATGCGCTTCGTTGAATCAGTTATGTTTC